ATATTCACGTGGAACTTGGCTTATTCAAAATTAGTTGGTGAATTAATTCTTAAATTTTATGTATTTATAAATAAAAAACTTTAGCTAAAAAATTTTTTCTAGCTAAATTAAGCTTAATTTGTACCAATCCAACGTTGCTAAAATTTCTTTTGGTGGCTCTGCCAAAACTAAAAAATAATTTTTTGGTGGCCCTGCCAAAAATTAAAAAAAATAATTTTTTTTGGTTCGCCAAAAATAAAATATTTTGCTGACTTCTGCCAAAATAATATTTTATTTTATAAAATATTATTTTAAAAAACTTTATAGCATATGAATAAATATTTTAAATTACCTAAATAATATTATTTTTTAAAATTAATCTTTTATTCTTTAAGTATTATATAAAGGATTTTAATCAAGTTGATAATTTGTAATTTAAATTAAATTTAAAAAACATTCTTATTAAATTGATTAATTAAATTGATTAAAATATATATTTTCATTTGAAATTTTTTTAGAAAAATACATATATTAAAAATTTTGTATAATTTCTAATGGTTAAAAATATTTTAATAATTATTACAATTTTATCTTCTTTTATTATTTTTGTTACTTGTTGCGTACAAAAAAAAGTTAACGATAGTAAGATTAATATTTATTTAATAAAATTATTTAATAACATATTAATTACTTATATTTGAGAGTGTGCTAATGCATTACAAGATTGTTGTGCAGACAATCTACGACATTGTCAATTCAATTTGCCTTGTGTAACTGGGGGGTTTTTCATCATCCTCCAAAGAGTCTATATTAAGTTTGGCTCTAATACAGGGCCGTATTTATCATTCATTATCCAAAGGAGATTTCATTAAAAAGGCAGCCTAACTATACAAAAAATAATTAACTTTAAAAAATTTATTTAGAAAAATTTTTTAAAATTTAAATAATTCTTAATGGCTAAATTATTCTAATTAAACTCATATTAAAAATAAGATTGTGATCCACAGAAACAAGATTGTTGTAATACAAAACTTCAATGTTGTCAATATGGAGCAGCAACTTGCAGTGCTGCTAAATGTTGTATTAAAAATGAACGTAAACAAATAATAATAATAAAATAATAATAATAATGAATATATAATTATTCATTATTATGAATAATTTCCCTGAAATAATTTCCCTCTCTCAAATAATTACCCACACCCTATTAATTACCCCCTACGGCCGAGATCAAAAAAATGTGTGTTCGATAAAGAAAAAAAAAAAAAAAAAATAAAAATAGCTATAATGGCCTTTCTAAAAAAGATAAAATAATTACCCCCTCCTTTTTAATCAACCCCTTCATCGTGATGTTGAATTATTTTGCCAAATAATTATTTCAGGTAATTATTTTAGGGTTATGTGCAATTATTTTATTAAATACGGTAATGAGCGAATAATAATTTCAATTAAGCTAATTATTAATAATAATAATTCCAAAATTATTTAAGCTTTCTCTATTCTTCAGTTTTGATTTTATGAAAAAAATGTTTTATAAAATCAAATTATTCTTTAGAACAAGCAGCAGATAAAAGTCATTGTTGTTCAAACAACATGAATAATGGGTTATGCGCAATGAAGCCCGGAAAGTAACAAGATCAGGAAGAATGCACCTTAATAGTATATGAGGACATGAAAACAAAAATATAAAATATTTGGGAGGCTAAATTTATTCAAATTTAATGGGTAAAATAACTAAAAAGAATTCCCGTCTCTAATAAACGACCAAAAAATTCTTGATGCTAATATACATTCTAAAGTTCATTATACAACTATTAAATAGCATAAACCTATAAAATAAAAATATTATAAATATTCTTTACTAGATCATAAATAAAATATATATATCCTCAGAATAAAAGAATTTAATTAAGAAATATCCCGGGCAAAGTTTTTTATATTGTTTTAAGGTTTACTCACAACTTTAGTATAAGTATTTGAGCTGATATAGAGTATGATTTAAGCGGCTCCTCAACACACTGATACCTGATATCAATCAAACCGCCGATATCTATTGAACCACCTTTAATATCGTCAATCACTTTATATTCCCAGATTACCCCTTAGATCCTCAGATTGCGGATCGTGGTTTGCATGAAATTCGTTTTGTTAGTTTTGCGGATTTTTAAATCGGCATAATATACCTAACTTGAAAATGTACATTTGAACTAGAAAACGCCATCTGTTATTTAATAAAATAAGAAGGCGATGATTAAAATATTAAATAATTGGCTTCAAAATTTAATCAATTAAAAATATGTACAAAATTAAAATTTAAATATCAAATTTAATTAAAAATTATACAGGGTGCGGCAAATTGGCGGCCGCTTTTCTTTTTGCTATAACTTTTTTAATTTTTAATGAAAACAGTTAATTCTTTTTTTACTGGATTCCCAGCACTCTGAGAATTTTTTTGGGCCAAAAAATAGAAATTTGGTTCACAGATGGTAAAGATAAGTCGGTCCAAACATTCAAAATTATCAAAAAACATTTTTTCTTGTCAATTTTTAACTGGTCATAACTTCGTCAAAAATTATTCAATCTCGATGATTTTAGTACCAATCGACTCGTCTTGTTCAGGCGCATCGAAAAAGCTTATAATTTGATTTTTGAAAATTTCACCAAAAAATTTTATTTTTACCATAATTTTTTTAATTTATCATTCAAAGGACCGTAGCTCATTCGATTTTTATCGTAGCTCAATAATTTTGATGTCATTCGAATCAGATTGAAAAGCTGATTCGAACGATATAAGCATTTCCGATATAAAAATCATAGCCTTGAATCCAGACCGACTTTCAACCGAAAATTTTTGCTCGAATTTTGAGGAAAGATTAAACAGACTAAATCATGAAATTTAAAAACAATTTTCACATCAAAAAAATTCTCAGAGTGTTGGGAATCCAGTAAAAAAAGAATTAACTATTTTTATTAAAAATTAAAAAAGTTATAACAAAAAGAAAAGCGGCCGCCAATTTGCCGCACCCTGTATAATAATTCATGGAATTTTTAAAATTTTACTTTCCTTTTAAATTAATTAATTTAAATTTTTTACTTTGTTTTGAATTTATTTAGTTAATTCATTAATAAGATAAATAGATTTAGCTTCAAGCTTTTCCAAATTTTCAGTATCATGTTTAATATATTGAAAATAATTATCAATTCTTTCATTTGCAACATTATCAATTAATTCAGCCTTTGTAAAACTCGTATTTTTATAAACATATTTTAAAAATTCTTGTGAGTTGTTTATAGCTATAGAGGAATTTTCTAGATGTTTGTTTGCTTCATTGATAATATGGTTAAACGATTTTTCTGAAATTAATTTTTACATATCTTATCCAGACTATATGCATAACATTAATGAACAAAATTTGATGCGACTTAATGACTATAATCTTAGGTGTCTTATTATTATAGCTAGATATCAGACCAAGACAGATCTAAAAATCCCGGTTATACTACATAAAGATCTTCAAGATATCGATTTTATTAATTAGGTTTCTGTCATACATATCTTCTTAAATTTTATTCGTTATGCAAGAGCTCTATACAAAAATAACATATCCTCTCATTCTTAAGATAATTTATACCTTTATTACTATTATTGCTAATAGGTTGTCGTTCAATTTGTTCATGATTAACCTTAATTTGTTTGCCTTTGCTCGTTTTTTCTATTCCAATTGCTTAAAATATAAATTAGAAATGCTTAAAATATAAACTTAAAATATAAATTTTTTGATTAATTATCTTTATTATTTAAAATATTACCTTCTGAGTTTTCTTTGGTTAAGCTTCTATTACCAGGATTATCATCTTTTTTATTACTTGATTTTCTATATTTTTCCAATTCCAATTCGATTTCTCTTACATTTATCGTTTTTGGTTGATTTCTATGAAGTTTGCATAATGAAGAAATTTTTGAATTATCTTCTGCAAAATTTTGAATTGTTATAAGATAGAGATTCTCTATTTGATTTTCATATATTGCCTCTTCACATTCTATTTCTATTGTAGGCTTAATAATTGAAATTTCAGCCAAATCTTATTTTAGATTTTAATTGGGATTATGGATGTCTGGATCCTGTGTATAAAAGGCCCTGATTCCAATTAGGGATGAGCGCAAGAGACAATCACAAAAAATGCAACTCAAGGCCAAAATTGATTTGGAGATCCTGGGTACAATGGATTGAAGGATATCAGAGGATTTAGAGGAATCAAGGGGGTTTAACGAAGAAGCGGGGGTTACGAAGATTATTATGTATTTTAGAGGGATCAAGAAGATTTAAAAAGATGCCATGTGATTACCGAAGGATTCGGGTGAGTTGGAGTATGAGGATAAGAGCTAGAAAGAGGGAATAAGAGCTAAGAGAGAGGATAAGAGCTATCTGTAATTATGAATTGATACCGAGGATATTAGGGGATTCGGGGGATTATGGGAGTTGAGATCGAGATTCTTAACCGATATTTTTCTGAGCCTTTCCATGATGGACCTTGTATTTAAATACTTATTTTTAGCGCCGTAGGCGAAAATTTTGTGAAATTTGGAGGCCTTAAGCCAGATTTCTTCAATTTTTCCCCTCAGATTAAAAGGATAATATGGATTAGGGAATAAAGGAGGGACCTATCATCTTTTTAAATCCAACGTAATACCAGTAATTCGACCAATATTCTTCTATCCCCTCAGATCAACTAATCTTTCCCTTAACTATACTTGATCCTTCTTAATTTCCTGCGCCGCAGGCGAAGAATTTTGGAGGCTACGGAGATAAATTTCTTCCTTTTCCTGCGCCGCAGGCAAAAAATTTAAGAATTTTGGAAAGACAGGAAGCCAGATTTCACCAATTTTGCCCTCATTTGTCAGATTGGTATATTTTTTGTGTTTTTTTGCGTTAATGTCATCAAAAATTTGCGTTAATTTCAACGCAACGCCAAAATTTAACGCAATGCGCTCACCCCTGATTTCAACCCCATCTATTTAATCAACTTACAATATTATGCCCATTCTCCTCTATATTAAGCAAATATCTATCATCATGACAAACACGACGATTATAATGCAATGTTGAATAATAATCTGAATGTTCCATTAAATCATAAACAATTCGTGAATATACACACGAAATGCTCATTTTTAGATGTGGGTTTAATTTGTTAACAATAAATTTAAGCACTCTTGTAGGCCTTACAAAATCAGCAAAGTCTCCACAACGAGTAGAATTAAATACTTGATGTTCTTTTGATGAAGTTAATGGAATTAGGATTGCTTTGTCTATTCCTCCATCAATTTGTATTGGACAGAGTAAAAGCTTTAAAAATTAAAAATTTCTTTATTAATCTTAATGCAAGCCATTTTGCTTAGAAATGTGTCTTTCTAATAATGCCTATTACCATTATGAACTTACAAGAGCACAGAAAACCAAACATTTAAGCTTTGTAATACTTTAAAATACAGTAGGACTTTGTCCCCCAACCTTGTCCCCATAACCACTACCACCGTATTTTTTGGAAATAACACGAGACCTGAACCCCGAAGGCTCTACCCAGCCTAACCCCGATCCTCGACGCCCACCCGCGAAGGCTTGAAGTGATACTCTACTTTAAAAATAGGTCCTTCAGAAAGAGCAAGTAAATTTATAAGAATTTACTTGTTTATTAAACGAAACTTCCAACGTATAAATATTTCTTTGAAAAGTTATAGGTGTTTTGTCATCTGTAGATAATTCATATTTATCAAATTTACAATAATCATATTTTTCTGTAATTTTTGAATAAACAATGGAACTGAATGTATTTTTCACATAAAGTTTCAATTCAAAGCGATATTTATCCATTTTATCAAGTTTATTATATAGATCTTGAGGCAAACTTTTCTCATATTCTCGCCACTCAATTTTAATATAAAGATTGCTTTTAATTATTTTATAAAATCCAAAAAAGAGTATAATTTTAATTAAAGAAAATAAGTTGAATATTTGCATATCTAAATATATTGTTAAAATTAAATGATAAAACTTCTATAGATAGAGCCTACAATTTCATTTAAATATTCCCAACCATCCCATAGAAAATTAAATTTAATTAAAAGTAGTCGTTTTTCAAGCGTCCGTAAATTATACGACCACTTTGGATAATCATGTTTCGGATAGCAGGAAAAATCCACAAAAATTCTGGTAAACATATCTATTGATATTAATGTAAAATACAAAAGAAACGGAGTTTTATTATAACTCCATCATCAAGATCTCGAAGCCCGAAAATCAACGGAAAACCGGGGTATATGTCTTTGAAAAAATTTTTCGACCCCTTTAAAGTTATATTAAATTTTGATTTTATACTTTTCTGAAAGCCCTTTAAATTTGCTATAATACCTGCAATTTTTATTTTACAGAAAATTTTTTTCTTTAAGTTGTACTTCATTAATTTCTAAGTTGCTAAGAAAAGGCATTTCATGGGGTAGATTTACTGATTTTCTTGTCCATTGAATTTAACCCTCAATATCTCCCAAGTAAAATTTTTTGATTTATTAACAATAAGGATTTCTTATAGCAAATTTAAAGGGCTTTCAGAAAAGTATAAAATCAAAATTTAATTTAGTCCATAAGGGGTCGAAAATATTTTTTAAAGACCTTCACCTCGATTTTCCGTTGATTTTCGGATTTTGAGATCTCGATGAAGGGATTATATTTCAACTTCGTTTCTTTTTTATTTCTTATGTATACTGATAGATATGTTCTGAAAATTTTTTGTAGATTTTTCCTATTATCTAATACAGAATTATCCAGGGTGGTCGTATAATTTACGGACGCTTGAAAATCAACTACTTTTAATTAAATTTAATTTTCTGAGGGATGGTTGGGAATATTTAAATGAAATTTTGCTAACAAGTGCTATATGAGCTCATTATATACTATATATTACCTGTGTCTCTGTGGATGTCGGATCAAGCAGATTTCACAAACAAATAGATAATAAAACAAATAATAACACATTATTGCGAATATTTAAAGTCAAAGAAAGATGTAATTTTATATTTTCCCACAAAATGTATTCTAAGTTTATGAGAATTAAAGTGCATGAGAAATGCACTTTTTTAAAAATTAGGTGTTACATACGGGATTTGTTAATGTAGAGACTGAAAACACACATGATTTCATCACGTAGAAAAAGAAAGAAGGTTGAGGTAGAAGGAAGAAAACTAAATGTAAGAAGAACGTTGATTTTTAAAATTTAAAAAAATTCTTGTGTGAAATTTTGGCTCTACTCCAGTTTATGCGTCCAATCGACTTTTATGCGTCCAATGAAAGTTTATGCGTCCAATAAAAAGAAAATTGGATTTTTCTTGGTATTGCAGAGTTGGGGTATGATTCCACAACATGTCTTCATGTTTGAGATCTTCGTTCACTGGGTCTGGGACCATTCCTTACCCCATCCCTCTAAATTTCTTAAAGTTACAGCCAATTTTTTAAAATTTCAGTAAAACGATTTTAACTTTCAAAAATTTCAAGGGATAGGGTAAGGATTGGTCCCAGACCCAGTGGGCCTTTAATTCGCCAATGACCTTATATTTCCAGATTACTCATTAGATCCTCAGATTGCGGATCGCGGTTTGCGAAAAATTCGTGTTTTTTTGTTTTGCGGATTGCGGCTGCGGATTTTTAAATCGGCAGAATACAACTTGAAAATGTACATTTGAACTACAAAAGGACCTCTGTTATTTAATAAAATAATAGACATAATTCAAATATTGAAAATTATTTTTAAAATTTAAATAAAAATATGTACAATATTCACATTAAAAATGTACAAATTTAATTAAAATTATAATTCATCGAATTTTTTTCAAATTTTACTTTACTTTCAAATTAAATAATTTTAATTGTTTATTGAGTTTTGAATTTATTTATTAATTCAGATTTTATTTATATTTATATTTATTTATTTATTTAAAATAAAACAAGCAACAAAACGGGGTGAGCCATTTACATTGTTGCACTATGTATTAATTAGTACTAATTACCCTATTTGGTCTACGGAATTTTATTATTATTTTTATTTTTATTGTCACTAAGTTGTTTATTAATGCAAATATCTTAACAGTCATTAAATGTTTTGTTGGAAGGGAAATGAGGTATAATAATAACCTGTATAATAATTCATGGAATTTTTCAAATTTTACTTTACTTTCAAATTAAATAATTTTAATTGTTTATTGAGTTTTGAATTTATTTATTAATTCATTAATAAGATAAATAGATTGAGCTTCAAGTTTTTCCAAATATTCATTATCATGCTTAATATACTCAAAATAATTATCAATTCTTTCACTTGTTACATTTTCAATTAATTCAGCCTTTGTAAAACTCGTATATTTATAAACATATTTTAAAAATTCTTGTGAATTGTTTATAGATTTAGAGCATCTCTCAGATGTTTGTGTGCATCATTGATAATATCGTTAAATGATTTTGCTGAAATTTACATATTTTTAAAATCTTATCCAAACTATATAACATTAATGAGCAAATTCATGCTAATTGGTACTATAATCTTAAGCGTCCTTATTATTATAGGTGGATATCAGGCCAGACAGATCTTTTAAAAATCTCGGTTATACATATAAAGAGATTTTTCACGATATCGACTTTACCACTCTCTCTGTCATATATACAGGGTGCGGCAAATTGGCCGCCCCTTTTGTTTTTGCCATAACTTTTTTCAAAGTCAACCGAAATGGATAATTCTTTTTTTATTTTATTCCCAACACTCTAGGAAAATTTTTGGTACCAAGCAATTGAAATTTGGTTAAGTTTTGGTAAAGATATACCCGTCCGAACATTTAAGTGCGCAAAAAACATTTTTTATGACAAAGTTTACACTGTCATAACTTTGCTAAAAGTCGTCCAATCTTACTAATTTTGGTACCAATCGACTTATCTCAGTGAGGAGCATCGAAATATTCCAGAAAAACATTTTCGAAAATTTCACCTAAAAAATTGAAATTTAACACCTATATTCTCATCTATCATTTAAAAATTCATATCTCAACTCATGGACCAGATAAGAGTTTTGTTTAAACATTATTCGAATCAGTTTGAAGAGCTTATTCGAATGACATAAAGCTTTCAAATATCAAAATCTTAACATTGAGCCCAGGCCAACTTTTATCAAAAAATTTTTACTCAAACTTTGAAGGAAAATTAAGCAGGCTAAACCATAAAATTTAAAACAAATTTTAGACTCAAAAATTTTCCTAGAGTGTTGGGAATAGAATAAAAAAAGAATTATCAATTTTCGAAGATTTTAAAGAAAGTTATGGCAAAAACAAAAGGGGCGGGAAAGTTGCCGCACCCTGTACTATAAATTAGTGATGCTCGGGTATCCCGATCCCGACTCCCGACTCGGGAAAATTTCCCGAGTTTTTGGCCTCCCGATCCCGATCCCGACTCCCGGTGTCAATTCCCGACTAAGTCGGGAAATTTTTACACCCCTAAGAATGGATTTTTCTGACAAAATTATATTTTCATTTATAAAAAATGAAGAAATCTGGCCTCTTGGTCTTCTAAAATTCCCAAAATTTTCGCCTGCGGCGCTGAAAAGGGAAGATTTTTGGCTTAAGGATCTACTAAAATCCTTAAAATTTTCGCCTGCGGCGCTGAAAATTGAAGAATCTGTGGAGTTGTAGTATAGCAAATTTCGGTGATTTACTAGGATTATGGTGAATTTGAAGAGATAACGAGGGATTTGCAGTAATAAAGAGAGATATCGATGGATGCTAATGTTGCATAGGGGGTGTTAATACTATATAGGGGATATGAAGAGATAGGTATGTGGCCAAAATTCCACCAAAATTGAACGTAAAAATATTTTTCTCTGTTTCACTCTCTTTTCCTTAATTTCACCCCAATGGAGAGATTCTAAGGACTTAAGGTCAATGACAATAACTATAAATCAAAGCTAAATCAAAGCTTTTTCTCTGCTCAAAGAAAAAGCCCCCAGCAATACCCAACACTGATTATCTCTACGGTTACTAGGTTTTTTGGACAGGCTGTTGGCTTATCTTTCCAAATAATCGTGGAAATAAACTCTTAAGTTACCCTTAAAGATCGTTCAAAACCCCTTTCTATTTCACTCCAATGAGAGTCAAAATTTTTGTCTGCGGCGCAAAAAATGGAAGAAATCTTACTTCTTGACATAAAAATTCTCAAAATTTTCGCCTGCGGCGCTAGTAAGGCTTCTTTACCTTCCAAAATTTTAAACATTTTTGCCTGTGGTGGAACAAATGGTAATTTTTGGCCCCGAAGGCGCCAAAAATTTTTGGAAAATTTTTTTATTGCTAATTCCCGACTCCCGATCCCGACTCCCGAGGTCATTTCCCGACCCGACTCCCGTTTCCCGATTCCCGGGTTTTTTCTTCTCCCGAGCATCACTACTATAAATGTTATCCATTATGTGAATAACATCGAACTTAAGATAATTTATACCTTTATTAAGTAAAGCTTGTGCTGGGCCAGGATGGTGTTGGGATGTTGGGCGGGTTGCGTGCGATGTTAAGGTCCCGAGAGGCGATGCCGATGAGTATATTGCGGAGCGGAGGGTAGGCCTTTCTATGCGCCGGTGCTGCTGGTCGATTACGAGATCGACTTGCCCGGGAATAATATGCGCTTGCAAGGAATTAATAATATAAGCTTTTAGCTTCTTCTGCAGGATATTCTTTCTTTACATTGATTACTTTCCAACTGACTGGTGAACAGTCGACTGATCCCGTTTTCACTATTTTCCACTAGCTTTTATCTTACGGCCTTATTTGTCAATCTCCACCCCTTATTTAATC